CTACTTTGACACATGTTCAAGTGTCTAATTTTTGTGCAAGGTCTAACGACACCAAACGACAAAGAAATTAGATCAAGAATCCTCTCTATCATGGAACGAGATCCAGAGATTACGTTACAAAAAGTAACTGAAGAATGTCAACGAATGATAAACGTAAAAAAAGACAATACTCGGATTGAGGAGAAGAACATTTCGCGAGTACAAACTGTACGACAAAAGAAGTGGATTCAGAATAAAGAAAGAAAAATTATATGCAGTTCGTGTGGAGGACAGCATATAAAGAAGGATTGTTTCTTTAAGGATAAAAAATGTTATAATTGTGGGCGTGTAGGCCATAAAAGTTCCCATTGTTGGGCAATCAGAGAAATCTCAAAGTCTCAGGCAAAAGCGAACGTAGTTTTGTCTAAACACGAAATTGAAGTGGGGGTCAAAGAAGAAAATACCTCAATGTAAAAATAAATGGGCAGACCGTAAAATTATTACTCGATCCAGGAAGTGATATCTCGGTGATAAACGAGCAAATATGAAAAAAAATCGGTTACCCACCGTTGACGAAGACAGACAAAATTGCCAGATGAGAAAAGACTTAAGTTTCGAGGTGAATTAAAATGTAACATTTCGTTCATGGGAAAAATTCACAAATCGAAAGTATATGTGCTCCCTGATTCAGTAAACCTCTTTGGTACAGTCTGGATAGTATTCAATTTGTGGGAATTACCAGTAAATTCGTTCTGTAACAAAGTGAACGTCATAGAGAATTATAAGAAGATGCAAACAGAAAGATTTATTACGGAATTGAAAAATGAATTCCCTCGTGTTTTTTTCAGGACTAGGTCTGTGCACAAAAACAGAAGTCAACTTTGAGTCGAATGAAAATGTGAAACCAATTTTTAAGCAAAGAGAGTACCATTTTCGACACTAGACTCAATAGATGAGTTAGAAAGGTTGGAAAAAATTGGCGTAATTTCAAAAGTGGATTACTCGGAATGGGTGTCTCCAACCGTATATATAAAAAAGAAAAACCGAAAAATCAGAGTGTGTGCTGATTTCTCGACAGGCCTGAACGATTGTTTAAAAGACCATGCGTACCCTCTACCGTCACCTGAGGATATATTTACTAAATTGAACGGAGGTAGAGTGTTTTCAAAGTTGGACTTGTCGGAGGCTTACCTTCAGGTTAAAGTCAGTGAAGAATGTTCAAAGTACCTGACAATAAATACTCATAAAGGGATTTTTAAATTAAATTGTCTCCCTTTTGGATTGAAGGTAGCTCCAAGCCTATTCTAGCAAATAATGGACACGATATTGGCTGGTATGGATTATGCAATACTTACAGGACATTTTGATTAAAAGTGAAAACGAGGCCCAACACAAAACGCATATTAGAGCAGTATTTCAGAGAATTGAGGAATACGGGTTCAAGGTGAGTGCTGAAAAAATGTGAGTTCTTCTTAAAGAAGATAAAATATTTAGGGCAGATAATTGACAGTACAGGAAGAAAACCGGACCCAGAAAGGGCTGAGTCTATAAAAATTATGCCAGCACCGGATAATGTGGCTAAACTCCAGGCGTTTTGGGGATTGGTAAGCTATTATAGTATTTATATCCCAAAAATGTATGAAATGAGAGCCCCTTTAAACAATTTGGTGAAAAAGGGCACAAAGTGGATATGGTCGAAAGAATGCGAGGATGCTTTTAAAAATATAAAAAAACTGTTTATTAGCAGACCTATCGTTGGCGTATTTCGACCCGAAGAAGAAAATGATTGTAGCGGCAGATGCTAATAATGAGGGACTAGGCGCTGTATTGCTACATAAACTCGAGGACGGATCTACGAAGCCAGTAGCACATGCCTCGAGAATGATACTGCCCGCGGAACGAAATTATAGCCAAATTGAAAAAGAGAGTTTGGCAATAATCTTCGCTGTAAAGAAGTTTCACAGATTCATATATGGAAGACAATTTACTCTGCAAACAGACCACAAACCGCTGTTAACAATTTTTAGTTCAAAAAAGGTATACCAACTCACACGGAAAATCGACTACAGCGTTGGGGTATAATTCTATTGAATTACAATTTCAAAATGGAATATGTGCCATCAAAGAAGCTAGGTCACGCCGATGGGTTGTCGAGGTTAATACCGAAATATACAGAACCGCTGGAAGAAACAGTAATAGTGGCTCTAGAGACGAAAGTGAATTGTCGGGTTTGTTATGCAATACTATTAGAGAACTACCGGTTACTCTAGATGATGTGAAAAAAGCAACGTAAAACGATGATTTCATTAAAAAAAAATGAAAAAGCAAGTCTGGTTGAACGAGAGAACAAAAAAAAAAAGGAATGAGTGTCACCTTTTTCAATCTGTGATCAGGTATTACTTTACGCAGACAGAGTTGTAATGCCGTGTACTTTACAGAAAAAACATTCTAAAAGAATTTCACACTGGTCATCCAGGGATTTCGAGAATGAAATCTCTAATGAGAGGATACACGTATTGGCCGAGGATGGACCAGGAAATAGAAAATGTGGTGAAACAGTGTAAAGGATGTCAACTGGCAGCAAGGGATCCATCTGTAAAGAGTCAACCATGGCCAAAGACAGATAATCCATGGACTCGATTGCATATCGACTATGCAGGACCCATAAATGGATCGTATTACCTGATTGTGGTAGACAGTTTTACTAAGTGGTCGGAAATTGTTAAGTGCATACATGCAACTGCGACAAATACGATAAATGCCCTTAGCGAAATTTTAGTCGTTTTGGACTCCCTAAAATTTTAGTCAGCGACAACGGAACGCAGTTTACGGGAAGAGAATTCAAGGAATTCTGTACAGCATTGTCCATCGATCACGTGACAACACCTGTTTATCATCCAAGATCGAATGAACAGGCAGAAAAAATCGTGGACACATTTAAACGAGCCTTGAAGAAAAGTCAAGGCGTGGACACGAATGAACAGAGTATTTAGAAATTTTTGGCAGTATATAGAATCACGCCAAACCCAAATACAACGTTAGGATTATTGCCAGCAGAGTTAATGTTTGCGAGAAAAATACGCTCTGTGTTCGACAGGCTGTTGCCTAGTCCGTCGAAGAAATCTGCGAAGAAACAAAGCCACATGACTAAAGTGTATAAGCCAGGAGATAAAGTTTTCTTCAAAAGTTTTAGGGTTGGAAAAGCGTATTGAAAGAAGGTGTAATAACCAAAATAATTGGTCATGTACGACATAAAAGGAGAAAAATTTCCGTGTAAAAGACATTGGAATCAATTAAGACACAGACATACTACAGAGGTCGCGGAAAATACCGAAGAGATTCCAATGGAAGTCTTGTATGACGCCTTTGAAATTCCCGTTCCAGTAAGTCAACATTCGCCAATGGAGGTATCCCCGACCTCAAGGCCAGAGGTACCAGTGTGTAAAACGCTACCACTGCAAGGAGGATTGAGGCGAAAAAGAATTAGGAAAAAAGTTAATCGATTATGTCCAGATCCTAAAAAGAGAAAGTATTGAAGCTAAATTTCACGGAAAAATTTAGCTCAGGGGGAGGTGATATAATGGAATATGCATACACCTGAGTTCCCTTCCCCCTCACTGGAATATCATTGGCTTGTGTCCGTCATAAATAAAGATGGACGTGTAGATACGACAGAGTTTAAGTCTATGACGCCGCCCATTGGACTACGCCATTGGCTATGCTATTGGTCTACACCTATTACCTGTGACTACAAGTCGATTACTGCTACCGTATTCTACTTGGTTACAGTAGCCAAAACCACTTAGCTACTTGGATCAAATATATTCTTTTCTGGGACATATCACAATGATAAAAAAAATTCAGGATCTGAAATTAGTAATTACTTAACATTTTGAATACCTCAGTGTATGGATCAGTTATGACAAATTTAGTATAGGTGATAAGAAAATTAAATGCAGAATTGGTTGTATTGGAGGTTTAGTTTCACTCAACATCACAAACTACTACAAAACCAAAACGTTAACGTAAAAATGACTGTGTCAGTTCGAGACATTCATATAGATGTCCTGCATCGTGGCAAACCCATTCAGAATTATTTAAACTGTCAGATGTATACAATAACTTTCTCAGATCAATGGTTAAAAATGTTTTTTGAGTGAATAAAGTCTCTGTTCTTCAACTGGTGCTATAGAATCATAAACAAAGAACTGTACAAAATAACGGAAACCACATCAATTGAGGACTTTCAACAGAAACAACAACTAAAATGGATATCACTTGTAACTCAAAGAGAAAATAATGACATAATCAAGATGTTAACATCCCATGCTCCTTTAAATAAAAGGTTAGGAAGGAAACCCCCACCAGCACTAGGAAGAGTGATAACAGTTACTGAACTTGAGGAACTTATTTTCTTGAAAAATTGTTTTAAGAGAAAAATTTGATAAATTTCAACTGACAGTATACTGGTTGCTCAGTCAATGAATGCTGAATGTTTCCTTATAAGAAAAGTGTTAATATTACCATTACATAATGGTTAGGATTTGTTAAATAAGCATAACCATTGTTGACAAGTTTTCCATCTACCTTGGGAATTCAGTGTTTTCTTTCTCCTACAGTGGTTGCTAGCCAAAGCTGAAGATCTCCTATTATTTAATCCATAGCTGGAGAGGAGAAGAGATGGATTCATACCTTTCCCAAGAGAATTTGCATGAAAGTGAATGAGTTAAAAATATTGCTAACAAGAATCTGTTTTTTTCTATAACTAGTTTTTATGTAGTCAACATATTTAACACACTCATCAATGTGTATTAGTTGGTACTGAAAAGTTCTTGAATTCTGATTTTTCACTAGATTTAAGGACATGAGCTGAGAACTTATCAGGCTATTGTTTGAATATTAAAAGAACAAAGAAAATACAAATAGAATTTACAGTCAACTAATCTTTTCAAAGAATGATGGTACAAAGCCTACAATGCATTCTCATTGCACACAAAGTGTAAAGAAATATAAAATTTTACCTGCATAGCCAGAGTTACAGTGACACTTGTAGCCATATCCAGTATTTTCACAAGTCCCATGTTTTTTACATGGAGAGGGTGCACACAAGTTGATTCGGGTCTCACATAGCTTTCCTGTATACTGTTGTAAACAGTAGCATTTAAATGCATTGAAACGATCTTCACATGACCCACCATTTTGACATGGAGAAGATTCACATTCATCGACTTCTTGATCACAAAGAAAGCCTAAAATGAGAAAGATAAAAAAAAGTAACAATGATATAGGAGTTATCATTTATTTGAATTCTGAAATGAATTCATTTTTTTGTTTAATGACACTTTCTTTCACAATTGGTAATGTCTGATGAGAATACAAGACTAAATTTTTCATATGTAAGAAAAATTATTTATTCACTTCTGAACTCTAAATTAAATTAACATGGTTGTGAAGGGTATGTGGTTTCAAGAATTTCCTTCAAACATTGGGTCTTCTCTCAAGGATATGAAGTCCACTGGCTTTCCTCTCATTGGTTCGATATTTATATAACTTCCTGTCTTAAGTTATCTTGTCCATTTCCTGTTTATGCTGGCGCACCCATTGACATCTTTTGAGATCTCCATCTGCACTTGGGGTACCGTCAAGGCTTCTAGGTCTTTTCAATTTCTGAGGCGACATTGAATACAAAGATTAATTTGGTATCTCTAAGGGTGAACCCAATACATATTGGGGTTACAACAGGTCAAGTCCTCTTAGATCAAACATTCCTGACAGACATTAAATTTCATTCAGACCTCTGGTATTTCCTGGTGTGAATTATATGCTATAACAACATTCTTAATATACTTATCAAACAGAAGATATTCATCTATGAACACTGATAAAAATAAAGAAATATGTAGATATTTTTTTGTTATATATATATATATATATATATAAAGCACAAGTGAAGTATTTCATTTTATATTTATTCAAGTAAACTATTTCTATCAATAAAGATTTGATTTAATATATGACAAAAGCAGTGGCATAGCTAAAGGTGGGGCAGTCCACCCTGGGCAGCACTTTTATGGTACCAGCACTTTTGTAGACTATAAGCCTGAATAGGCTGTATTGAAATAATAATGGTTTTAATGTTGGGACAGAACTCACAGTTGAAGGGTGTTTTCAATTTCAAGTGACTTAAACTATGGCATATATATTGGCCGAACAATTATGGGCTATTAATCACTCTGTAAGACTTAAATGCTCCTCTCTCCTCAAGCAGAAAAAAACTACTTCAGCTATTTCTCTTATTACTTTGAACAATGCCAGAAGTGAGTAAAGTAGTAAATGAACTTTTACTAATATTTTGTGCGAGGACATTTTATCCTTGTATGAACACTGGACTGAGGAATCCAAAAAATAGCATTTAGATTTCAACATCATGAACTGGCTGAGAAATATGCCTTCCTTACCCCATTCAATCTTTTGGATGATAAACATGTGTGTCAAATAAATGAAAATCACAATGACATTGATAAAGAGGAGTTCCTCTTTGAAAGAAAAAGACTTCAAAATTTCATTGCTGTTGTTGCTATTTAAAGACAGAATACAGACATGGAAAGAAGGTCCCCTTGAACATTTGCTGTTTATTCAAAAGTATAACATTGGGAAGCAAATATAGTAACAATGTGGCAGATTTTCCACAGAATTGCTGTTAGTGTTGCTACCTGTGAGAGAAGTTTTTTGAAACTAAAACTGATCAAGAATTACTTAAGCTCTACTATGAGCACCTGGTAGATGAGAAATCTTGCCATACTGTCTATAGAGCAATAATTGACAGATGAAATATTTTTCATTGAAGGATTTTCCAACAAAAAGCAAGAAAAGTTACTTTTGAGAAAGTTGTAATTTTCATTTCAGAAATAAGGATGGTCCCTAATTTTAAACTTTTTCCCCATTTTTCCTTTTTAACTGTTATTGATAAAGTTTAACTATGTTTGGTGTGTATTTAAAGCATAGTATATTTGAGTATGTGAAAGTCATATTTAAATGGTAAACAAACTGTTCTCTCTCTCTCTCTTTCTCTCTCTCTCTCTCTCTATATATATATATAGCTTTAAGAGTGAGTCACTGTGCGATATGCACTTTTTGTGGGAGCCAGAGAACTTTTTAAACACTTATTTTATATATATATATATATATATTCAGAGAGAGAGATATCCAGTTTAAGATGTAAAATACTTGCTTACTTACTACTATAATTTCATTAACGAGCAGTAGATGTTTAAAAACAATTTTACTTTATGCTCCAATCAATACATTCTATGTATCAAGATCTCAAAATGGTCAAACCATTAATCTGGCAACAGCTGTGTTAACAGATATTTTCTTTTGCCCTTACAAATTGTTGATATTTCAGATCTTTTATAGAATAAATTCATCTAGATCAGAAAGATGGCTATGTCCAATTTTTCTTCTTGACATGGCCTGCAGTATACCTCAACCACATTATAGCTCTGTACCTTTTTAATGATATTCCATTCTGTCAATGGACATGTTTTTATTCTTTAACTGTCCATATGTACCTCAATTTGGCAGTACTATTTTTGCATTTCTCTAAACTGAAGAATGTTCTATGGTTGTAATAATTTAAATGTTAATAACATAATCTACAGAGTCACAATTAAATTAGATGAGAAAAATTTCTGCTAACATAATGAACACACAGAACAACCATTGGCTTGCTGTGTCCACAAAAGATGTACTGAGGGTGATGAAAACCAAATATGCAGTCAACATCATGGTATTTACAGTGATCACTAGTGATAGCAACATTATGCCTCCATTCTTCTCCTCACAGGGCCTCAGATTCAACATGGAGGCCTACATCAAGTGTCTTGTGAAGGTAGTGCTGCTCTGGGTCAAGAGGGTGGATGCTAGAAGACCCTATGTCTGGCAACAGTACTCTGCATCATACCACACAAGTAGGACAACCCAGTCATGGCTGTCAGATAATTTCTGCAACCACCCCTTTGGTAGATATATCTGTTAAAATGAGATGTCAGTGTTATTTTAATTTTTGTGTAATTTAGACAAGAATTTATCCATCACACTCTGTATTCATTATTTTATTTTATTATTAGTTATTAATTATTTTTAGTGGATGTCCTTATTTGAGTAGATACTCCATTTTACTTTAAACAGAATTTATTTTGTCTAAAGCCTGCACACTTGAGAAAACTTATTAAAGAAAATGTGCTCTCTGGCAGGAGTCAAACTTTTATCCTCCTTCATAGGAGAAAGCACCATTAAATGTGGTGTGCTTTAAGTGCTTAGCTATGAAGAGTTTCACAATCAAGCATGATCCTATTTGCCTTTAAAGTACACACACTCATCCAGATTTCTTGAAAGGCATAACTGCTCAGTTTTGTATCTGATATGTAAACAGAACAGTTTCTAAAAAATTAATGGCTATTATTTTATATTATGTCATTATATTAGCTACCCTGTACTTTTTCTATAAATATTTTCATGGTAATAGTTCTGATGAACTTTCCTCTGTGATACTTTTGTACTCAGATTGTTCATTGTTACAAATTTAAGTCTTACCATGCATTGGATGTATTTTTGTTGCTCTAGCAAGTGGAATGTACATTTGTTTTTGTGTCCTTGAAAGACTGTCAAATTTTCCATTAAGTTTACCATTAATTGACTTTTTTGTGAAAGTTTTTTGAATTTTCTTTTTCAGTTAATTTTTTCACCCTCACCGTTTTTTACATCTATTTTCACTAGACTAATAATTTATTTTTTGTGTAAATTATATTGAATTTTCAGTGTATCATTTATTTTTCAATCCTTTCCCAGCAGTAATTTCATTTTTTACTTTTTTTTTGTCTCATATAACTTCTCTTTTTGCTTACTCTTTGTGGTTTAATTTTGTATGTGTTACTTCATTCATTGTTTTGGGTGTCCAAAGTAAACATTTTTTTTCACCTTTAATTTCCAGCAATAAGGCAATTTTTTATTTTCTAGTGTAACTTTTCTTTTCCATTGTTTAATCTGTTTGCTTTTCTTTTTTCTTTGTCAGCCATTTTTTTTAACTTGCAAGTCTTACTTTTTACACATCTCTTTTTAATTTTCTTTTTTTTATAATTTGTTTTATTTTGCTGTTCTAATTTAGAATTAAAATAAAAACCTTCTTATGTTGCTTTATTTAATTGTGTTGTTTGAGTAAATTTATTCTTTTTTAGTTTACACATCAAACTTTTTTGTCTGTATTTTTATTCTTATTTCTACATAGATAAATTTATTATTCTTTTCCTTCTCTTTGTAGGATTATGTTATTTTAATTTGTGTATCTTTTTAAGTTAACTTTAAAGTCTTCACATCAAACCATTTTGTTAAACTAGCTGGTCTTTTTGTTTTATTTTTCGTTTGTCTTGTTAAATTTGTTTTTTATTTTGTGTATCTGTTTAAGATATTATTTTGGTTTTTCCTTATTTTTCTGGTTTAATTTTTCTCTTTTAAAGAAAATTCCCTATTTTTGTTAAAAAAAAGAAAAATTAATTTAAAAAGTAAGCTAAAATTGTTGGTTGATAAACATCAGTCATTTAAAAAAGACCTGTTTGGGTAGAAGAAGAAAGACTGCCCATCCACCCCTGATAAAAACCACTAAAACTCAAGCAACAGTGATTGCTGAGAATGAAGCTGTTAAAAAAATAACAATGATGAAAATGTATGGAGGCCAAAAAAGATAAATGGTATCAACAATAACAGTAAAAACAAAGACAACAATGTAGTGGCCAGGGATTTTCCCTCTTGCTGAAAGTCCCCACCAATGTGCATCATCAACATGCTGGAGTTCCTGGAGAGAGCCAAGAGCTACACACTTCTTATCAAAGAAGATGGGCTCTTGGTATACCTTCAGTAATTATAGATGGTGGAGAAAAGAACTGTGTCAGTCTTTGTGGTCAAAAAGTGTTTGTGCAAAATTTGTTACTCCACAAAAAACTCAGTTATTAAATCCACATCATCCTTGGGAGTTAAACCCCAAAGAATCATAAGAGGCAAAGAATATTTCATGTTGGATGTACTATTACCCACATTGGCCAACTGTGAGGACACCTTCAGTTGAGATCTTATAACAAAAGGCCTCATACTAAGAATTGAATATGAGGGCAAGCTGAGCACCCTGTATCAGTATTTGAGGTTTTTCCTCAGGTCTTATGGGAGCACTTGGCTGCTTATCTGGCTCAATTTACACAAATACTCAGTGCTTCCTCCAATGACCTGAACTGGGGATTGAATTTCAAATTAATAATATGCTGTAAAGCCTTCATCTCCATTCCCAACTGCCTGTATGTAGAGGGCCAGAAAATGCAGGTCATTATGACCGGCCATAAACCAACCTGCTAGAAGTGTGGAGAGGCTGGTCACCTATTCTCTTCATGCCCACAGAAAGAGGCCTCTGGAGTTCTGGGCCCAGCCAACCCAAGTGCCCCTTTGACCAAGTCTGTTATTTCTGTCTCACCTGTAATGGGCATGTCAGCAACCAGGACCAGTGTGGTAAAAGCCCCGGTTGGGTCCATTTAGTAGCTCCCATTCCTTGAAAAGCCTATGCCCACTGCTTGTGCAGTTGAAGAGAAGGAAAAGTAGGAATAGTATGTCATTGGTAAAACCAAAGGGAAGCTCCAGACAGTGGGACCTCTGTCCTTGGAAGCTCCCACAGATAAAGGCAAAAACTGCCCCTCTGCCTCTACCTTTTCCAAAGGCAATTCTTTGGTCAGCTACATGGAGAAAATCAAAAAACAAAGATTAAAGCCTAGCTTTAAAAAAATCAAGAATGTTGAGAAACTTAGAGAAACACTGAAGGAAAACATAAAAAATCTGAAAGTACTTTTGAAGATTGAAACACATCACAGTATTTTTCCACTTTGTCGTCTGAAGATCGAGTTGATGTAAGGCTCTTAGGTTGTCCAAGTTTTCATTTAATGGTTTACATGGATCATGGGATTGTCCAGGTTCATGTAAACTTAAATAAGACTAAGGTTAGGATGGCTGGATACTGGAAATTGAACACATCATTATTTGGTGAGCAAGATTTCCAGGAGCAGGTACAACTAATGTTACAGTGGGAATTGACAGGGGCTGTGGTTTAATAAGTGGTGGGGTAATTTAAAATCCACTATTAGGTAGTTTGCTGCTGACTATTGTTGACAACTCAACCTAGTTAGATTAGCAGTACAAATGGCATGTGAGGCAAAATAAATCAGGCGATCAAATCCTGTGATAGTGAGGAAGTAGCCTTAGCTAGGACAGAGGAGGCTTCCTTGCTTATCAAGAAGGCTCAAGCTCTGGTAGTTAGGGCTAGGTTAAAAAGAATGCCTTCCAAGGCAACAAATATGGCTGCTGAATTTTGTGCAGAGGACATTCAGAATGCATTCAATCAACATTGTATGCATCACATTGATGGATAAGTGGATGGTAACTACAAATGCAAACATATATGAGATTTTTTTGTGACTACTTTCAGGATCTGTTCATCAGGGAGTCTGGTCTAAGCCCTGTTCAGTTCAATGCCTATTTGGCTGATTTTCCATGCCTCCAGGCAGCTGAAGTGGCTGGGTGCGAGGGTCCATTAAAGAGTGAGAAACCTGGGAACCACTGAAGCTAGTTGGCCAGGACAAAACTCCAGCATTAGATGGTCTTCCTTACAAACTTTATTTGAGGCAGTTGCCCATTCTTTATCCTTTGCTGGAACTAATTTACAACAACTGGATGAAGCAGGAGTCTATACCTCAAATGCATCAAATTGCTATGCAAGGACATGAACAATGCGGATGGAATAGGTAATTTACAGCCTTTTAACAATGTTAAATATGGAGTTGAAGATCTTAGCCAGACAGTTACAGGCTGACCTCTCTAGTCTGATTGGCTACAAAGAGACTTGTGCAGAGCTGGACTGTTCAGGACAAACTTCATTTGGTACACATGATCATTGAACAAGTTGACAGCGAATCTGCACTGGTCAGTTTAGATCAATCCAAGACATTTGATAGGGTTGACCATCATTTTCTAGAGAGTTTTTGTGGCCACCACTTTTGAGGTGTGTACTTTTGCACCTGGAACTGATTTCTGTCCAGTGCACTGGTGGAAGTGAATGGAGTACAGTCAAAACCTTTTGTATTGTCTCTCACTCCATTCATCAAGGTTGTCTGCCTTTGCCTTTGCTGTATGTTTTTGCATTGGAGCCTTTCGCAATTTAAAGATGAATTCAGTCCTACAAGGAATTTCCTTACCTGGTGCTACCACCTCAGCCAGGTACTTCACTTATGCTAATGATGTTTCTATTCTTGTGTTGAGCAGAGCTGGGATTGACAATTTCAGCAAAGAAATTAGAGGGTACAAGATGGTGACTGGGTTCAAGATCAACCATGATAAGTCTGTTGGCTTGCAGTTAGGTGCATGGAAGGGAGTTTCTCTTCTTGGACCTTTCCTCTGGACGGACAGTCAGTCAAGATACTTGGCATCTGGTTTGAGGTATTATGTTAGCTATAGTAAAAATGATAAGTAAGAATATGTTGTTTTGGTGTAAGGTATTCCATGGTATGTTTGGATCAGTAATTGTGGCTAGCTAAATTTAAGATAAGACAGATTGAAAACCAGTCTTTCCTATGCTCACTTTTGGTCTTCTGCCACATTTTTGTATTACTCAAACTATTATTTTCCTTTATGGTACCTAGACTTTATGAAATTAAGCACAGTACTAGATTGGTGGCAAGGTTTCATCATTTTACAACTAAATTTGCTAGATGTAACCATAAGTTGTATGCTAACAGTTTCTTCTATTACACATATCACTTGTGAAACTTTCTTCTGTCTTCTTGTTTTCCAGTCAACTTTGATCTTTAAAAATTCAATACAATGTGTTCTTCTGTCTTTGTAACTCCTGTTCATTTATTGCTCTTACTCCTTAATAATGTTTTTTTCTCATATTCTCTCAACTACTTAGTAACCCCATGCATCTAATTTTATATATGAGAGAGAGAAAGAAGTGGGGAAAGAGAAAGATACATACAAACATTAAAATAAATATAGATATCTTACCTGTATAGCCAGCCTGACACTTGCAGCTAAAATCATTTATTCCATCAAGACAGGTACCTCCATTATGGCATACTTGTCCATCACAGTCATTGATATTTTCCTCACAGATCTTGCCAGTAAATCCATCAGCGCATTCACATGTAAAATTATCGAAGTTGTTATGACATGTACCACCATTTAAGCAAATATGTGGCTTAGATGTCTTGTTTGTTTGGCAATGGTCCTCATCTGTTGAAGAAGAAAACATAAATACACACACACACATATATATATATATATATATATATATATATATATATATATATATATATATATATATATGTGGCGACTAGGTCATGAATGTTTGTCAGGCACATTACAATCTTTAACAAAATATATTACTGGTATAATTTAGATGCTAAAATGATTCCTTTACTCTAACTAAAATATAGTATTTTTAAAAATCTCTAGATAGATATGATTTTTTTAAAATAATGTGTGTGTTTGTATATATGTCTATTAGTGTATTTATGTATCTCTCTGTCTGAATTTTTATTTTATTTTATTTTATGTTTATGATCAGTAATGCTGATTGATATATTTCCTTAAAACTCCCCCAGTCACACACCTCACCCAATCCTCCAGTTGACAAATTAAGGCTGCTACTTTCTTTGATTTTCACCAACTTTAGCTAGGCTAAATTTAATTTGTCCCTTTTCAATTGATACATTGTGCTAAAAATCCTTATACTGTATGGAATAAATTATTTAAAATGGAAATTTGAAAACATTAATTTGAAATAAAAATGTCTTCTTTGAAAAATAGGGTATAAAAGCCATTAGAGATTTTTAAAAGATTATTTATAAAATTAAAGCAAGAAATACATTGCCTGTTAAGTATACCTCCAGTTCAGATCTATGTAGCCTGACCACCCACATTAATTTTATTTCATTCTTTTATACTTACTTTGTTTTTTTTTCTTTCTTCTTTATTATGAACAATATCAACAATAATATTAAATGTATTTCAGTCAATATTTTGAGGCATGGAGTTAAAACAATTAAACAAGCATTCCTGTATCTTCAGCATTTTGAGATGTAAAATTGTAACCAGTATTTGTTGCATTTCTCCTCCTTTTCCATATAAATATATATATATATATAAGACTCAATTGATAGAAACTTTCGTTAGTCTGAAGAAGTACTTTTGAAGAATGAAACATGTAACATAGGATGTTTTCCCATTTTGTTATTCAGTTTTACATTATTAGCCTGATATAAAGATTTGCATATCTTTCATACATAAACATTTGTGTGTATGCATGTGTGCGTGCACACACACACACACACACACACACACACATGAAAAAAGCCAAAAGGTACCCAACTTACTTCTCAAAATTAGTATTCCTATGTTTCTGATATCATTAAAATAATGGTTTTGAGAAGGCCAGAAACTATTATCTCTTTCTCACCATCATATATATGTTAAAATTTGCTATATTATATGGAAGAAAAGTGTTCAATATTAGAGATAGAGGGTTTTAAAGATATAGACAGTGCAAACACAGAAATGAACACTGCATGGTATAGTGACACGTCGTTTGAAGATTGCATTGAAGTGTAAAACTGACAATCACTATATAGCATTGATTCATATGTCCACACTCTCTCTATATAAGAAACAGACACACACATATATATTTATATCAATATATATATATTTTCAGACTAAATTATGTTGGGATCATATATATGTAGCAGGGAGACATGAAATACAAACGAATGTCAGTTATAATAAGGTATCAAGTGAAAATGCAGCTTGTTTTATCTAGACACATCGGACAAGAAAATTTAAATTTAAAGTGGCCATGCATTTTCAGCAAAACACTTGTTTGCATTTTGTTCTCTACCCTCTACATATATATGTTCCCATCAATAAAAAAATTATTTCATCTGAAAAGTCTTTTTGAAGAATAAAACACATCACAGGATTTTTTTCCATTTTGTCATTCAATTACCTGATATTTGTCTGATATATAGTGTTAATATATCATATATATATATATATATATATATTACTTAAACATTATTTTTAGTGGATACTCATATTTGAGTAGATACTCTGTTCATTTATTAAACAGTATATTTTTTTTTTCACCTATTAGCCTGAAGATTCAAGAAACCTTATTAAAGAAAAATATGCACTCTCTGGCAGGATTAAAAACTGTGTACCCATAGGGGAAACCATTGTTAGATCCAATGTGCTTTAGACTTCTTGGCCACATAGTGTGTTGATGATCAAGCAAAATTGAATACTACCTTTAAACAGAGATCTTTTTTAGACTGTCAAAATAGACATATCTGCTCAGTTTTGTTTCCTAACATAAACAAAGCAATTTCTAAAGAAAAGGATGGATTTTTTATTTATTAATTCAACAGTTAAGTAATAAAATATGTCAGATTTCTAGCACGTTCAAAATTTTAGTAAAAAAATCTAGTTTTGCTTGCGTCAGCAGGTGGGCCAAAGATTAGTATTAGGCAATTTAGCATCTTTTTTGCAGTAAAAAACATTGTTTTGGAAATTCTTGCAAAAATCAAATAATTGTCATGTTTTAATGAAATTTTCAAGACTTATTGACAAATGTATGCAATTATTATTGAAAATTTTTTTTTTGAGGAAATTTTGGTGAAAATATTTTTTTATATCTGTTACCCCTATTCACTTAATTTTATGAAATTTCTAGAAATTAAAATTCCACCCTTGCCATATTTATATTAGTTAAAAGTAGGACTCCTTGGAGAATTTAAATCATCAATTAATTAGAAAATTTCTTAAGAAAAAAATATTTTCAATGTATAATTAATTTTTACAAGAATTGTTTTCATTTTTTAAAATTTTAATTAGAAAAATTTATTAAGTTTTAGATCTTTTAAAATTCTGTATTCATTTCAGCCTTTTAGGTGATATTAGTATTGATTGAAAACTATATTTACTAATCATAAATGGAAAAGCTTATTACAAAACACCATGTATGTGTATAAACAATTCAATTTTTGTAAGTATGAGCAAGCGTACATGACATTGTCAGAAAATAACAGTGATAACTATAGTAAGTTTAAAGCCAAAAGTTCTAAAATTCAATAAACATTAGATTACAGAGAATATTTTCCTAAATTTTTAAATTACTGAGCACTTAAAAATTAAATAAAAAAGCACTCACATCATTTTCTTCAATTATGTTTTACAGATAAATTCTCTGTAGAACAAAATTAGATCTATCATTAGGCTGTCAGTATATCGAAACAGCTACTGTTGGGTAAAAAACACAGCTACTCTAGAGTAGCTGTGGTTAAAAAATGCATTTCTGCAATATTTTAAACTTAAAGCAAATAATATTTGTTTCAAATCAGATTAATTATACTTTAAATCAACTAATATTCCTTAAATAAAGTTTCAGAAAAGTATATTTTAGTTTTGGAAGTTTTTTTAATAAAGAGAATTCCATTGTGGTGAAAGATGACTAAAAATAGGGCACTAATCAGCTATTTTAGCTAAAATTATTTTTTAAAATCTCCTTCCAGTCAATTTACATTAATTTTTGAAATGCACCAAAGTATTTTTGGAAATATTACATTTAATCTATTAACTTGAAATTGAAACTAAAATAAAAGCTTCAAGATTTTTCATTTTTAAAAAATAATTTTAAATTTATTTTTATCGTGTCTTTTGTAGAAATTCCTACATCACACACACACACACACACACACACACACACATATATATATATATATATATATGGCAAGGAGTGTGGGCTAAAATGTGTCCAGACTATCCCCCTCAAACATATTCTTCATGTGTGTTGGCAAGCTATCAGAGATGATCTTCTAATTTTGTATGCATGAGCAGACACTCTCCTATGAGGTTACTCAACAATGAGACACTAGTGAATGAGCTTATTTACTGTGCAACTGTGGCATTCACAATGACCAAATTCTTCATGTCTTGTACAAGGTTATTTTTTATCCAAAATTTTATCACCCAAATATCCCCCCAGCCCAGATTAGTCTCTCTCTAACTTGACTTTTCCCAAAGTGCAAAATGTCATTGATACACCATAGACAAGCTTTAATATAAGAAAGCAGCTGAGAATTTTGCTGACTGTTTTGAAAAGTGAAAAGAATGCTGATAGAAATGGAAGATCTCAAGAGGAGTGTACCTTGAAAGAGACTAAGTCACCAATACTAATTTAATGGCACTGTACTTTATAGACACACCTTTTACACATACACACAAACACTGTATTATAACACTACAAGTTGTCATCAAATTGTAAATGTGTTTCCATAAGAAAATTACAGCTGACTTTATCAGAATGCCAGGAAATTGTGAGTGGGAAGAGAATACCAAACAATTTTCATGTAAAAATATGCAAATAAAAATTGCAGCAATTATGTAATTTTGAAAGGGGTTTATTTCAGAAGGAGAGAAATTTGATGGCATTCAAAGGTCAAATAAAATACACAGTTGAAAAAAAGCACAAAAAAGTGTTTGCACAAACTGGAAAAATATCAGAAATTTTGTCCTGTTTTTGTTACACAGTAATATTAGTAAAACTAGTCTTAGTAGTATATATTTACTATGCTGACAGAAGAAATATATTTACTATGCTGACAGAAGAAATATATTTACTATGCTGACAGAAGAAATATATTTACTATGCTGACAGAAGAAATATATTTACTATGCTGACAGAAGAAATATATTTACTATGCTGACAGAAGAAATATATTTACTATGCTGACAGAAGAAATATATTTACTATGCTGACAGAAGAAATATATTTACTATGCTGACAGAAGAAATATAATAAAGGAGGCCCTAGTGAAGAATGAATATAGATAATGAACAGGTGCTGTAAAGGTCTCAGCCTGAGCAAAAAGAACAAAAAGAATTTATGTTTAGTCATTTAGTCAGATTTTGGGAATTAGATTAAGCCAAGAACTTTTACCCATCCTATTGTAAAATGCATGTGTATGTCATATTGGTATGTTTATATAACATCTAAATTTTAGCATTATATTGTAGTATGAAGTTATTTTCTTTTTATAATGTCATAAAAATGTATAAATTCCTCTTTATAAAAGAAAATATAGTAAAAGTGTGTAACTTACATAAACAATCCTCAAAAGATTTGGCTCCAGGTTTTTTGCTTTTGCTATTGCGAGGGCATAAATAGCATTCAGTAGCTCCTTCATTTGGTTGGTATGTATGTATAGGACATAATATACAAGGCTGGAGGCCAGTCTTATTGTTGTAGCTTCCAGGAGAGCATGAAACTGAAATGAAAGCATGTGCACAATAGATATATATCTATTATTTGAATAATAATTGGCTAGCAAGTTTCTGGTATTAATAGGTGAAGGATCCAAGTGAAACTTTACAAATTAAAAAAAATTTTGATAAGCTCAAGTTAACTCAATCCAATGTTAAAGAATTCTTTCAAAATAATATTCTATAACTGACCAAACATTAAAGTCAAGACTAAAATGAGTTGAATCACAAAGTTCAATTACTGGTGTGAATTTTTAATCTACATTAATTTAGTGAGAATGAAATAGTGTGAATGAATAATCAGGTGTCAAACCAAACCCTTCTTCAATCAATGATTGTGTATTAATCAACAAGTTATATGCTTGAGCAGTAGACCTTATCTATCACAAACTTAAAAAAATATCACATATACTTAAGTGTGTTAACTTCTTATTAAAATTTGACACAAGTCTCATAAGTTTTAATAATACAATGGCTGACATTCAAAAAGAAAATTTTTATAAGCAATAAATTATAGTTTCTGCCTTCATTTTTATTCATATTTAATAAGTTTAATAAGTAGTGTACAAAGTCAAATGATGGTGTTGCACCAATATTTAAAGTAGCAAATATCTTGAAAGTCAGTATTTGACAATTCTGGTATTTACTTCTGCTTGAACCCTGACCTCTGACACCAGCAGGAAATCTGCAACCATGAGGCAAAATGAGTATAAGTTGACATACATCCTATTTTCATGTTTTTCCACTTTTTAAATGAGAAAACTCATCATAAACAGACATAGACAATATTCTAACACAAAGACTTTTTGTGAAGTAAGGCATCAATTTAAAAAAAAAAATCATATGCAAAAACAGTCTACTTTGAGTTTTGAAAACTTGTTTACTTGCTTCACAAAAATGTATTAACACTCATTTAGCATCATATTACTGTTATATGGTTTATTTTTCTGAAAAATAAGCTTTATGAATTTATCAAATATACTATGAAATGCCTAGATGCTTAAAGAAAACAAACTTACTGCTGCAGTCAGACTTTCTGGTAGATCCTGTCTTTGAAGTGACCTGACCATCAGGACACTTTACACAGGATGTGGAATTAGATTTATCTTGATAGGTTGAAATCTCACATTCTTCACATGGGGCAAAACCATTTGAAGAATAGGTGCCAGGTTTACAAAAGTCTAACAAAAAGAGAAAAATTCATTTTTTTTTTAAATATATGGTCAATACTCAAATGTCACCTGAATGAAAAAAACAAAAAGTAGTCATTAAAAAAAAAATGACTTAATAGCTTTTATGATTATAACATTTATGACTCATAAATTGTAAAACATAAAAAAGCAAATGTTTAATTGGCCTCCAATTGCCCTCATTTTCTCTGTAAGGAGAAAATTCTGTCCATACTGCTTTTTCTAAAGAACTGCCACATTGTGGAAAAGACTCCCATGTAGATGCTTCCCTGAATACACTTCAAATCAAGAGCCAATTGTTATATATCCTCCTTATCCTAATAATCTTCACTTCCTACCACTTCTTCTTACATTCATATCACATTACCTCATTCAGTAACCCTCTACCTTGAAAAATCTTGATCTTTGTATTTGGTGGACATTAATATAAACAAAAACATTTGATTAAAATGCTGATCTTAACACAGGTTCAAATGAAAGCAACTCTATGAAGAGACCATTAAATAAATCACTTTTTAAGATGAAAAAATATTGAAGAAAGAGAAACAATTTTTGATATAGAACTACTGAACTATAAAAATTGATTTCCTTCATAAAAATGATTCAAGTAGAACATAATAAAAAATGTTATGACAACTTTTCACAATCACAAATTCCATAACCCCTTAATTTTGTAGAGCCACCACATCTAATGCAGTCACAGCAGCAGTGATGTTTCCTGTGCAACACAGCTTAATTTGAATTAAGTTTTCCTTATAGAGTGGTTGCCAGCTATAGGGCCCAATCTGTCCTGCTATTCACCTATAGCTGAGAGATGGATTTATACCATTCCCAAGGGCATTAGCACATAAGTGAATGAAATGGATTCAACTGGAATTCAAACTCGGCTCTCCATTTCCTCAATCTGACTCACTACCCATTACTCCACTATGAATCTAACAACCTTTAGAGAAACAATAAAGACTCATAGCAAATTTCCTTTAGCATATTAAATAAATAACAAAGATCAAAATGTATAAAAGATGTACAAGTGAAATAAATATCTAGAATATGGTGCATTTCTGATACAAAATATTATTAAAGTTAACTTGGCAGTTTTTTATTTTTTAAAGCTGTTTTGAACAGGACTTTTTTTCTGTTTACATTTCCAGTTTTCAAAGTTTTCTCATTCTCTTTCACTGCCAACACCCCCTTGTATCTTAGTAGCATTATCATTGGCAGTGAAAGAGAATGAGAAAAAAAGTTTTAAGAACCTGGGAACGAAAAAAAAATATATATATATATATATATATATATATATATATATATATATATATGACAAGAGAGCTACAAAATAGCACTTACATCGAACAGTCTGATTTCTCCTTAGACTGGATTGTCAATGTACTGGTAGATGGTGGACACTTGATACAACTGGTCTGCCCTTCAGTATCTTGGTAGTAGCCTAGAGGACATTTCTCACATGTAGAGTTGATATAATAAAAGCCAACTGGGCAGTTTACTGATTTTGAAGGATAAAAAAAAAAGAAAATAAGACAAGCATAATTTTGCATAATTCATTTTATAGCAGTTTCTGGTAAAATTTACCGTGATTGATTTTTGTTAAATAGGAAATAAATATCTTGGCCTGGTGAAATATTATAAGAAAGTGCTTCACAGACATTGTTTATTAAAAAGATATAAAGATGATAATTCTGAATAAAGGGGAATCAATATTTGATCAACAACTAACACTGAATTTTGTTGATATTTAAGTGTTTAAAATTTGAATAAAAACAATTATGTTTATTCTTTTGTTGGAAATATGGTGAAAATAGGCATACAAAATAAACAGTGTCTTAAAATAAGAAAATCTTTCTTTCTAAAACTTTCTTCATAAAAAGATGAGAGATTGAAAACATTAAGAAAGCTATTAATTGAAAATAAATGAAAGTTGATGAAAAAAAAATCTAACTCTCAAAAGAGAAAATAGCTTACAAATATATAATATAAAGAGAGAAATATTTTCATATAGTTCAATCAAAAAAAAGGTTAATTTCTTAGAATCCCAATTTAAATCTAATAAAAATCTATCAATATAAAAAAAATTAATTCTTGTTTAAATGAAAAAGTTAATGTAAAACTTACAGCATTTCTTTACACCCACACTGTCAACAGTTACCATGCCTTTCTTTTCACAGTCTGATTCAATCTCTATACTGACAAAATGATACATTTTGACACTAATATTACCGATTCCTGTGGAAGCATCAATGGTAATATTCATAGTTTGATTTTTTGATATATTCATCCAAAGTCTTCCAATCTTTCTACGCAGTTGGTATTGCTGAGTCTTTGTTGTCACATTGTCATCAGTCATCTTGAATTTGAAACTTATAGTCAAAACCCGTTGCTGGTTTGCATCTCTCTTGCTATGATGAAATCGTTCTACAGTTTGAATGTTCACTGGAAGAACATCTTGTTTTATGTATGTATCTTTTATAGAAATGTTTTATTTAACTTCAATGTTTTCAATACTGCATGTCACATCCTTGCAATGATCTCGCATTTCATTTTTTAATTTTTCCTGGAACTTCTTTGCAATATGTTTCTTAGCTGTATTGCAATCCCCATAATAATAATAATATTCTATTTGGCCATGCATAGCAGCTGAACCAGGGATATGCTCATCTGTTATGATACAAAAGAAGAAAAAATATAGTCATTACTTACTTTGGAGCATAAATGTTCAAATATCAGTAACAGGAATTAATAAAGAACAAAAGTAAAATATTAATTTTAAGATAGCAAGAGAAGCCAATGTTATTTGTAAATTCTCATACCCTTAAAAGTGTTATAAACACCATAATTATATGCCTCAAACTGTAGTCATTTATTCTTTCCTCTCTTATGTTTAGTTAGAGTAGTGTCATCTTTTCTTTATAAAAAAATCTGTTTATCATGTATTCATTCTTTGCTTCTCCCCACTCCCATGTCGGCAACTATTTTCACATTGTTCTTCTTTCTTCTTTCTCCTCCTGTGATTATTTAAGGTAGTTTAGTTAGTCCTCCTTTGATTGTCATCATCTAAGATTGACTTTTTTAGATAAACATGTCCCTAAACAAACGAACAAGTTTGTTTAAGTTAAACATATATATATATATATATAAATGATAAATGAGCATCAACAGTGGATGGTGCCTTTCATCATACACTTATGCATGCTAGTAGGGGCTTTTGTGAAGAATATCAGGTAATGGAAAAACACATTTCATTTGTGCTTTCTTAAGTGTAATACTAGCCCAGCCTTGCTGCAGATGACAAAGCCACACTGATAGATGAAATATGTTAAAGCAGGATTTTGATGGCATCTCTGCTTCAGAGCTTGATGAAGCTGTTCACAATGCTTTAGTATACTGTCTTCTAAACCCTTTAACTTAATGAAACATGTCTTATGTCACTCCTTTTGGTTTGATACTTGGGTTTCCCAAGTTTTCAGATCAAAGTTGAGATGTTTCTTTCAATTTGTCTTTGTAGTGTTAAGTGTGGATGTCTAGCTGAATGCTTGGAGTTTGGTAGTTGTCCATACAGCACCGTTTTTAGAATCCTATGCTCATCCATTCTCACAACATGACCGGCCCACCTAAGTTGTATCTTTGCTAGAATGATTTCAATGCCTGTGATGATGTTACATTTCTTCAATATTGCATTATTCGTGACCCTGTTATCCCATTTTATATCATAAATGGCAGAAAGACAGTGCATGTAAAAGGCATCAAGTTGATTTATGTGCTTCTGGTACAGAGTCCAAGTTTTAGCACCATACAGAAGGGTTGAGAGAACAACTGATCTGTATATGTCGATCTTTACTCTGAGAAACAGCGTCTTTGATGTTCCATAACCTATGTTTAAGATTACTGAATGCTGTGCTGGCTTTTGGCTATTCTGGATTGGATTTTTCTGTCCATTTTCCATCAGAAGAGACTGTTGATCCAAGATATGTGAATGCCTCAACAGTTTTTAATGTCGTACCATCAATGAATATGGAAGGACTTGTGAGAGATGGATTGCCTGGTACTGGCTGGCACATTAGCTCAGTCTTTATGTTGATAATGAGTCCAAATGCTTTCACTGTTTCAGACAATTTATCAAGGATAATTTGGATGTCTTCTTGACTGTGTGCTAATAGAACTGTATCATCTGCAAAGAGAAGATTGCATACCAGCTGCAGACCAAGTTTTGATTTTGCTTTAAAAGGTTGCTGATTGTATAGATCTCCACTTGTTCTGAATTCAACATTGACTCCTTCACTTAAGTCAGAGAATGCTTTTTCAAGCATAGCAGAAAAGAAAAGTGTAAAGAGAAGAGGGACAAGTACACAACCTTGCTTTGTATTGTTGGAGACAAAAAAGGCATTTGATTGCTCACTTCCCGACCTTACAAAAGCTTTCATTCCTTCATGAAAGGAGATAATAATATGGAGTATTTTTTCTGGAACACCTAATTTTGACAAAACTTTCCAAAGAGCAGTTTGAGACACAGTATTGAAAGGCTTTGTGAAATCTACAAAAACAACAAATAGATCCTTGTTTTGTTCTCGTGCCTTCTCCTGAGCCTGCCAGAGACTAAAGATCATACCCACAGTTCCTTTACCAGATCAAAAACTGCACTTGGTCTCTGGTAATGCCAATTCTGAGACAAATTCATTAAGCTTGTTCAGGATTATACAAGCAAGGATTTTGTCAGCAAATGAAAGAAGGTTGTCACATTCACACCTGTTCCCTTTCGCTTATACAAATGGACAATTGAAGCATCCTTATATTGTTGTGGCACTTCTCCCTTTTCTTACACCAGGTTGAAAAATTCACAAATTTTGCATGTCAAAAGATTGGTGCCACATTTGTATATTTCAGCTGGAATTCCATCTTCGCCAGGGGCTTTCCATTCAAAAACTGTTTGATGACTTTTTGAGCTTGAGGGTTGAATGGTTAGCAGAAACAACAGGTCTTTGAGGAAGACTGTTTATTACTTCAGCATCAACAGACAAATCCTGATTTAGGACCATGCCCACCATTTGATAATGTGGTGTTTGTTTGTCAAAAGAGTGTTATCTGAAGAAAAGTTTGGTGATAGACCGCTGGAAATGAGCCCAAAAAAACCCTTCAAGTTTTGGTAGAATAATTTAAAGCCACATCTGTCAGCAGCCTACTGCAAAGCTTTAGCCTTTGCTGTCCACCAGCCCTTCTTCATCTCCCTCAGTTTTGCTTGAAACTTTCCCTTGGCTGATTTAAAGCCTCGTTTCTTTGATAGGCATGCTTTGTCTGCCATCCAGACCTGATGACATTTATGCATGTTTTTAAGGAGAGATTTAATTTCAGGATCGTTTGAATCAAACCAATCTTGATGTTTCCCGAGTGTTTCTTTTGCTGTCATACAGTATTTTTTGTAAGGTAGACCATGCCAATTCAACTTCATTATCTACATCAAGAGATGAAAGTTTTGAGTCACACAATGTTTGGAAAGAGTTTAATGTTTCTCTTTTTTTCAGCTTTGTTATATCTACCTTCTTTGGTGGTTTTGCTCTATTCTGTCTAAAAGGCTTCTTCAAATGCATTGCCGTATGTGAGCAAACAATTTTGTGATCTGACCAACATTGACTGATTGCTAGTCATCGCGTAGGGTTTATGTCATGGTGATCACGACCATGAACGATGATGTAGTCAATGAGATGGTCATGCCCTGATCTAAGATGTTGCCATGTAGTTTTGAAACTAGTTGGTTGTTGGAAAATTGTGTTGGTGATTACAAGATCGAATTTACTGCAAATAGACAGCAGCAATATGCCATTAGAATTTGATTTGCCGACACCATATTTTCCAATGACTTTACCCCAGGATAGTATGTCATATCCAACATGAGCATTGAAGTCCCCCATCACATAAAGTTTGTCATGAAATGACGTCCACCTTAGAAGTTCACAAAGGTTGCAGTAAAAGTATTCTTTTACGTCTTGAGTAGAGTCTATGGTAAGGACATAACAACTAATTAAAGTGGCATGCTTATTCTTACTGGTAGGTAAGTAAAAAGATATTAGCCTGTCAGAAATACCAACTAGAAGTGACTCCCCTCATGACACAAGATCATTTCTGATAGCAAATCCTACACCAGATTCTCATTTCACAGATTCAGGTCATCCTACCCAGAAGAATGAGTAACCACCTTCCATTTCTTTAAGTTGCCTTCTGTCTGGAAGTCTGGTTTCTGATAGAGCATCAATACTGATGTTGTTCTGTTTAAGTACTTGTGCAATAATTGCTATTCTACATTCAGGGTTTTTCTTATTGTCCTGAATAGTCCTTACATTCCAAGATGCTATGAATACATTTGTTTCATTAAATTTTGATTTTCTGAAATTTTGGGAGCACAAGTTGGATGTCCAGCCATATGCACCTCATGACAGGGTCATGCTCAGACATGCAATTTTTAGGTCGCCTTTTATTAACCCTTCCTCATAAGAGGAAACCAGTACCATCCTTAAATAGGGCTGCTTTGTTATGAGAGGAGGACACGAATACAACAGTGTCCAATTTTGTGCTGCTCAATGTGTGAAATTCAAGCTAAAGACTGCCAGTAGCATCATCCACCTGTCCTGTTGCTATCTCTTCCTTGCCATGGAATTTCTGTTCTGCATGTATTTGTGTTGAACTATTAGGCATCCAGCTACTGATCAACCTGCACTAAGATTTGTTTAAAGTGGCCAGTTGTTTGTGTGGCACAAAGCACACTCTCTCCATCAAAACAACATAGTCCTATACAGGTGCACTGTGTGCCACATGTTAGGTGTTTGTGATGATCGCACATCATATTATCACAGAGTTTGACTTCTCCAGGACCTTAAATACATTGGGTAGTGTGTGGTGGACCACACAATATTCATAAAGGTATGAGGTCTGATGGCTATATATATATATATATATAATCCATTCTGTGGAATTGTAGATAGCTTGGCAGCATTTATCTCATCTCCAAGTCCAAGGCCAACAGCCCACCTTTAACATGTGAGAGATTTAAAGGATGGGTGAAGGCCAGTTTTGCCCATTAGCCTTAAAACTAAGTTGCAGCAGACAAGCAACAAAGATACTACTTCTACGCAATGCTCCCTATACACTTAAAAAAACATTTTTTTTATACATTGAATATCGGAGTAAACAGTTCATATGTGCCAATATATTGCTATATATATTTTTTAAATAATAATAAAATAAAATAAAAATTATAAAATTATTATTAAATATATTAGAATATTTTATTATTATTATTATTATTATTATTATTTTAAAAATAATTGAAAGATAAATAATAAAAGTAAATTGACTAGTAGTAAACAAAACAAAAGAACATTATAATTGAAAACGTTTTTGCAACAAATTTGAAATACATTACTTTACAATTAATAAATAAGAAAATGTAAAAGAATTAAAATCACATCAAATGTTATTAAAAAAACCTTTGAATATAAATAATAATAAAGAAACTGGGGATAATGCACTAATAGTCAAAGATAACAAAATAAACATTACAACTCTAAAAGAGTTCCTCCAGTTTTGAAAATTATTACCAAATCATAAAAACAGAGAAATGTTATGTTTAAATTTAAATAGATTAGAATGTAGAATTATTCATGTCACTATATAATAAAACAAATACAATACATTATGTTAACTCTTAGTGATATATTCATAATAAATATATATAATCAAATAAATATAAATAAATGTACATGCAAGTATTCACATACATACATATATCCATAATGTAAATAAAATAGTCCTCAATGCAATATAACAGAGCTATTAAGTATATACATGATGATTACTTAGTGCATAAAACTCTGAGTCATATTGTTGGAATGGGGTATTATATATATGTGTTTGTGTATCATTGTTTAAAATGTGCTATATTTATGAAAAGAGTGTCAAAATCAGGTATAGAGCATTTGTAGGTATAAACAGTATGAACATAGAAATCATCACTATATAATGGTGGCTGTTTCACACCTTAAGCAATCAACAGACCATGAGTCATGATGATTGCTTAAGGTGTGAAACTACCAGTCACTATACAGTCTATGTCCTCACACACATATACAAAAGCCATTGTCTAATGCAAAAAACATGTTTTTAATCCTCTTTTAAGCACAATCACCCAATGTCACTTGTTTTATGTGCAACTACCAAAAACAAACTATAGCTCATCACAAATTGTAGCAACTTTATAATCAGATACTGGTATGTCCTCTTGTGACTATTTATAGTTTCAAAGACAATCACTTAACACATGTCACACTATATTTTAGCTTTCCTTACAGATATGTGATGAAAGCCTACTTTGAGCATTTCATGGAACAGCTCAAGTATGGATGACTAAAAATGACAAAATATGTTAAACTGTTTTTAGATTTCCTTTTCAATATGTAATAAAAGCTTGCTTAAATTTACAATAATCCCATGGAACAATGGAAGTGTAGATGACCAAGAATCATAAACATAGAAATTATGACCAAGGGCAAAAATACATTCTCAATCATAAAAAGTCATGATATCAGGCAATACTTAAGTTTTATAAACATCCAATTTCCCAGTCATCATAATAATCATCTGGTTTTTGAGTAGTGGTTATCTCAGGTAAACATCTTAATATAGTAATAATTCAACAGTGTTTTTAATTAAATACCATGCACTTCAATGACCAATCATAATTCACAAACAAAGAATTAAACATACAATGAGAACACATTCAGAGGTTCAAAACAACATGGTTTTAAAAAGAACTATGGATAAAGACAAGATGTTTCAGTTTATTATATACATAGCAGAAGGCCATCCAAAAAATAATTCAATATTATGATTATAAAAGTCTTATTATTTCACTAAGAATGTTAAGACTAGAGTCAGGAGGGAAGTCTCACAATCTACATGTCCAAGCTTTAAAACATTTTCAATACATTAAAGAAAACTGATAGACAGATATCTTAATGGCATGAAATGCAATGTGTCCAAAACTCTACAAAACAACCACATCTTTTATTGTGATAAAAATGTAACTTAAAATCAAAACAAATAAGGCTTATATATAATATAATTAATATAATATAGTATAATATAATATAATATATATAATATATGAGAATGTGTTGAAAATTTCTTGGCCTAACTTAGGAGCCGTTCCAAAACAAAAATCTAATGTCTAGTCATTTGGTCAGATTACGGGAAGTGAATCAGGCCAAGAACTTTGAGGTACCCACTCATACATGATACTTCAAGTGCGATTTCAAACAGGTAGCCTATGTTTTATGAGTTTAATATTGTAAACTATAAAAGTATAAAAAATTCATGGGAAAATCTATTTCCAATTAGCACATAAAAAAATTATATTAATTTTAGAAGAATTAAAATTTTGGGCAAAATCTTATTCAGAAAAAAGCATTTAATCCAATATGATCCATAACATACACTTAAAATCTTTTTCAAGATTGAAAGTTCAGAAAACTTACATGAACAATCAGGCCAGAGTTCAGGAGGAGACCATTCCCCATTTAGCATGCATACATATGACTTTTCTGCTGTTGTAACAAAATCATATTTAATATTGCAAAAAGCAGAACAGCTCAGTAAGAAGATGTCACTTTCACTACAGGCGACTCCTCCATTCTTTGGTGGTTTTCGTTTCACACACGTTTTTCCTAAAAAGAAACAGATTCAAAGAGAAAGTTAGGTATGCTTAATAGGAACAAATGTTTTCTATTTTTCAAAAAAAAATTATGAAATATATAGAAATGAAATTGTTTGGTCCAAAAAGAATTTTAGAATAAGAAAAAAGACATATTGCAAATATTATTCAAAACTAATTGGGGAGAGGAGAGTCTACATTCAGCAGAGTTGAGTAAGTACATCATGATAGAAAGAGAAAGGTGACAGGTATGTATTTTCTCATGAGTTGGCTTATTAAATCATGATAGAAAGAGAAAGGTGACAACAATGTATTTTCTCATTAGTTGGCTGAATACATCATGATAAAAAGAGAAAGGTAACAAGGATGTATTTTCTCATCAGTTGGCTGAGTATACCATGATAGAAAGGCAACGGTGACAAGGATGTATTTTCTCATCAGTTGGCTGAGTACATCATGATAGAAAGAGAAACGTGACAGGTATGTATTTTCTCATCAGATTTATTTAACTTTTGCAATTAAATTATTCTAAGAAATTTACAGAATCTACCAATTATTTATTATTTTTACTCATTTTGATAATAATAGTAAAAATTTCTGGAAGACAGAAGATGGTGATTTTAGTTGCATTTTATTTTTTGAAGATTGTAGATGACAGAAAAGCAAGAAAGCAAAAGAGTCTTCCACAGGTAAGAAGAGAAATTATGAAAATAGAACTTACATTTACAGTAAAATGATCAGACTTAGTTACCAATCTAGTAGTATACTTAACTTCATGTGATACCAAGAAGATGAACTCATTAGAGCATTTGCCATGAACATATTTATTGAGAAGTACCAGCTATGTCATGGTGGTGTGAAAGTGTGAAGTCTAGAAGTCACTTCAGTAGCAATAACATTACACACCCATTAAGACAGGTGTAAATAGATGTGTCATCAGCAGAAATACCAAGTTAGGAGCTGATGACATTGCTGAAGATAAGAAACAATCTAGGTCCAAAGATAGGGACCTGGAAGACTCACAGATTAATGTGAAAGGAATTAGAAGCGTGGCTGTTCAACATTATTTTTATTATACCATTTAAGAACAATTGGATTAAGTCAAATATTCAGTCAGGGACACCATAACCCTTGAGGTTGTGAAAAAGAACAACATGTGCAACCCTGTCAAACACCTTCAAGATAGCTAAAGCCACAGCCAGAGCCTCAACATTTCCAGTAATAATCATAGTAATTAATTCAGAATTGATTAGAACCTCTAGTACAAAAAAGGTAAAAGACTAATAGAAAGATAATTCAAGAGATCAGAAGGTTTACCAGAATTCTTAAAAACAGGAACTGCAGAAGAGGATTTCCAACAAGTTAGGAAGCAAGAAGCAAGAATGAATTTGTTGTAGAGTTAGGAGAGAACAGGTCAAATCCAGGAGCACATTTCGTTAGGACAATTGCAGGGATACCATCAAGTCCACAAGCATTGTAGAGATCTAGTTTGGAAATGATAGCAGAAAGCAGGGCACAGTTAAAATATATCATTCGGTAGAGATTTCATTCTAGGAGGAAAATCTGGCAAAGATACTCCTGATGAGTTGAGAGTGGAGTTGGAAGAGAATTTCTGAGCAAAGAATTCCACTTTATCAACTGACTAAAGAGAGGAGAGATTGTTTAACTCTTGTTTAACACACTAACAGAGCCACCAATAATCACAAGAACCAAACTTGTGAGTGTAGAAGTCAAATGACTTACCTTCTAACATGGCTGCCTCCTTGTGTCTCCTTATAAAGGCAGGCCAGCTAATCTACCTCATTTATAGAAGAGTACCTAATACAGCAGGTGGGTTAGTCTACTTTAATAGAATGGACCTGCCCAACACAATTGTATGAGTGGACTCTATTCACCCATATATCTCTACATTAAATCACTCGGTACTGTTCTCCAACTTGAAATGAAACTTTGGTCAGTCAGAGACTTTCTTAGTCAGTTTTGGTCCAGCTAAAGTTCTGCTGAACAAATCTAATGATAAGTTTTGCATCTTCATTTTAGTTGTTTTTGAGCCCTTTTGTATATTATTTTCAGTTTGTTTTTCTTTGTGTATTTGCAAACCGCATTTTCTTTTCGTGTTACCCCCTCCCGTCTTTTTGTTCATTTTTATTTCTTTCATTTGTTTTTAGCAAGCCAAGTTTGTTTGGCTTATTCACCCTGGACTCTAGCTAAGAAGTTGTCCGGAAATGTATCGCCGTCAAAAACACTTCGTCTGCAAATACATGGGCACCCAAAGAATGCAAGTAACGGTTTATAGGGTGCCCATAAACATTACGGAAGACAGGCTGGGAGGCCTTTTTTGCCCAATATGGTAAGGTGGAGGAGATGACAAGTGTGACCAGCAAGGCAGGTTTCGCGACTGGTGACATGGTATTGGAGATTACGTTGACACGTAAAAGCTTTGGAGACATCCCCAATACCAACATCCTGATGTGCAGGGATAGATGTGGTGGAAGGCCGAAGACCCTACTGTTGGTGGTGTGGGGTCTTGGGGCAAACGGCAAAGATGTGCCCCGGAAAGAAAGAAACACCACAACCAAAGCCATCAGCAGCAACTACAGTGACAACAACAGCAACAACTACAGTAGAGGCAGAGACTGGCAAGGCCCCTGGTGATGGCTGGAAGAAGGTGGTGGCTAAGGGACGGAAGTCAAAAGCAGGCTCCCCCGTCCCCTCAGAAGGCTCCACCGAAGCAGCAGCAACCACCCAAGGAACCTAAAGAAAGGCCTCAGCAGAAGCAACAACAGCTGAAAGAACAGCAACAGAAGCCCAGACAGAAGAGCCAAGAAGAAAAGTAGCAGCAACAAAAGCAACAGCAAAGGTTGGAAGACAAGATGGAAGTAGAGGAATTACCTCCAACACGGTCCTCCTCCTTAAAGAGGAACAGAGAAGAAGAGGAGGAGGAAAAACCAGTTAAAAAGCATACTGCAGTAGGACAGGGAGGGACTTGGAAAAAACCAGGTCTCTATCCATCCCTGCTTCACCACAAAAAGAACAGGACGTATCCCGCTCCCTCCCACATCTCCACACACGCCCACTCCCACACCTTCTGACTCGTCACCTCCCCACCTGTCCACTTCCACTCCGCCAAGGAGAAAAAGGAAAAAAAGAAACTAATATCCAAAGCAAAAGAAATATGTAGAGTGGACGGGGGTGGGGGGGACTTGAGAAAAACCTATCCACTCGTAAAAGATTCCCTCTTGGGTCACCTATTTAAACTTTACTCCATCGATGATAAATTTCCCTCGGGACCCAGAAGTTATTACTCGTTAGAGACACTGGGAAATACTTAAAAGTATGGTCACACGTATTTGAGGTGAAAGACGCCTATCCAGAAATCAGGATGGCCTAATTAGGCAACCATGATTTGAAGAAATTACACAGATTTTGTGCAGAGAGGGTCCCAGTACTTCTCCACCCATCGTGATATAGGGCGTTAAAACTAATGTATCCCATGGATATTGGCGGGATTGTCCTGGACGGTCGCATGATGACAGAGTTGGGGACAGGGAGCCTGGGACAATCCGTCGGGATCTTGTTTTCCATCCATTCTGTTATTAGGGGATCCAAACTTAAAAATGTTTCTCAAGTTAGCTAATTTCAATGTGAGGGGCTTGAGGGATTGCAGTAAGGCTGTGCACCTGCTTCGTGAACTCCAGCCCCTCAGCGTAGATGTAGCTGCAATTCAGGAGATGCAATTTGTTTGCGAGGTTGATACTCATGTGCTGTCTGGTGACTATGTTGTCTATTCAGCATACTGGGAGCAACTGGCCAAAGGTTTTTTCTTGCTGGTTAAATGTACCCAGTGTGCGAGCGCGGTGGGGGTGATCGTGGTTGATATTGCTGTGAACAGTAGTTCGTTTCGGGTCGTTGCAGTTAATGCGCCCACCGACCGGACGGAGCGTCGCTCGTTTTATCGGCAGTTAGGGCCGTTCCTGGTGGATTCGTCGCGCTTAGTTTTGGTGGGAGACTGGAATGCCATCCTGGACCCCGATATAGACAGGGGCGGTAAGGTATTTGGAGGATCGTGGCTTGGTTGATCTGATTGGCAAGTTCGCTCTCGCCGATAGATATCGGAACAATGATCTTAGGGTGGAGATGTGGACATGGGCACGTAAGTGGCCATCTACCCATGTAGCCAGCTACCCGGATAGAATGTTAGTGGGAAGGGCCGATATAGACCTTTTAGACTGTCCCACTGGTTAGGCAATTCGGACCACTGACTTGTCTGTGCCTGGATAGCATTAGATTCTAGGCCTAGAATGGCTGGACACTGGAAGTTCAATCTGTCTTTACTGGACAGGCGGGACCTCCAGCAACAGCTAATTAAAGTAGTGCAGCGGGAGCTAGTGGGGGCGGTTATTGGGCATAGGTGGTGGGAGAGGCTTAAGGATAGGATTAGGTCCTTCACCACTGAATATAGCCAAAGGCTCGCACTAGATAAGGCTAATAAGGTGAAGACACTTAAAGATAGCCTGTCCTGGACAGAGGCTAGGTGGGATCACCTAGAAATAAGTTTAGCTAAGCAGGCTCTTGAGCGATTGACTAGTGAGCGCTACAAGGGTCAGGTAGTTAGGCATAGGTTAAACAAGATGTCTAACGAAGCTGTGAACATGGGCGCAGTATTCGATGTTTCATTCATTCATGAGGTCAAAACCCCAGAGGGGCATGCTCTGAGGTCGACTGATGACATATGTGAGGCGTTTCGGCAGCATTTCGATAGCCGATTTACCAAGGAGCCTGGTCTCAGTGGCGATGAGTTTCTCATCTATTTGGCTGACTTTCCTCGGCTTGAACCGACTGAAGCGGTTAGCTACGAGGGAGAGATCACGGAAGGCGAAGTCTACTTCGCATTGAAGAGGGTTGGCAGTGGCAAGTCCCCGGGATTTTATGGTTTACCCTATGAATTGTACTTGAGGCTGTCGCACATCTTTGAGGGAGTAAAAGATGACGATGAGGTCACGCTGATCAATT